CTCCGTTCACTTATTTTTTCACTAGGGTGCTAAGGATTATTATTTTTTTTATTTTTTTTTTTGAAAAGGGGTTCTAAGGATGTTTTATTATTATTACTAGTTCATTGGGAATATTAGATTCTAAGATGCTTTTGAACACAAGTCTTTTTAACTTAATGATGGATCTTTTCCTATTTAATTAATATTAATGAGAATCCCACAAGAAATCCACATAAAAGAATTTTTTAGCTCATCTCAAATTCAAAAAGTGAACTTTAATACGTGTTCTTAAATAGTGCAGATGTTATTATAAAAAAAAATAAAAATAGTGGAGATGTTTGATTTGGTTTTGGAATGAAAATAAGGAACATCTATTATCTACCTATTTTTTAATTACCATATATATATATATATATATATCTACAATTCTTTTTTTTTTTGTAATTTTTTATTGTTCTTGATTTGAAAAAAAAACATATATATTACAAATAAATGTTTAAAATTTGAACATAACTGATAAGAAAGGTGTACAATAGCTCCTCTAATTATTTGAACTAACAATTTGACCTTTTAATATTAGTTTGATTCCATGGAAGAGAATTGTAAGGTAGAGAGTATTAAAAAACAAGTATATTTTTAGTGTAAGAATATGTGGAGTGAGGTCTAAACACACGACTTTTTGGTCGACTATACATATTTTAACTAGTTGAACTAAGTGGAAAAAAAAATGGTGTGACATACGAAAAATGTCAAAATATATGTCAATATATATATAAGTTTATAATATTATATAAATTGTTGGAATTTGTGATTAAAATTGTTTTTAATATAAAATGATGTATCCCAACTTATGTCAGAGGATACAACCTTATATGACAGACTATGTTCTTTTATCAAAAGACATGACCTTATCTGAAAAGATATGATTATTTAAATTAAATGAGATTCAGAAGAAATCTTCCCTAAAATTTTCGTCAATTTTTGTACTGTACGATTACTTAAATATATACTTTGAGCTCCTCGAGTTCTGTGCATGAACTACTGCATTCATGATTGGTAAATGCGTCATATTTTGAGAGACAGTATTTCATGCAACCTTGAGCATCATAAAAGGAACAAAATTGTCTTTAAAGAAACAATGCTATTGTTGGATTCGAACTATTTAATTTTGTGTTTTCTTAAATTTTTTATGCATATTTCTCTGACATAAAATGGTTTTCAAATTACACATAAATTATAGGGTATTAAAACCAAATTCTTCAACTCAAAGTTTGGATTTGTAGCATAGTGTCATAATTTTTTCTTTTTGAAATAAAAAAAAATGTGGGCATGATTTCAATCTTTGACATATAAAGAAGCTGTTCGTATCTTAAACCCGATTTGATAATTAATTTGTTTTTAAAATTTAAGTACATATATACACTACTTGTTCTCGGCTAAAATTGTGAAAACTAAAAGAAATAAATTTCAAAAACTTTTTTTTATTTAAATTTAGCTGAGCATTCAAATAAGAATTTGTGAGGAAGTAATCATAATTTTCAAAAAATAGAAAATTAAAAGTGATATTAAACTATACATACTTTTTGTCTGAGTATAACTCAAGTCACATATCTCCGATTAAAATATTGTGAGTTTGAACATAATTCCTACATGTGTATTAAAAAAATAAAACTATTAATGCTCTCAAACTATCTTCGATTGATCTCTTATAACGAGAAACAATTTTAGCACATACAAATTTGAGAGTGATGAATAAATATCTTATACACTAAATTATGATGGGATGAATCATATAATATAAATTTAGTCATATGCACTCACCATAATATATAGTAATACATATATCCGAGTTAAATCCTTCTTTTATAGCATAGCCTATATATCCATTATTCATCATACATACACTCGTGGTTCCCAACCTCATAAGAGAATATTGTCATAATGATTTTTTTTAATAGAATATGTGTTTTAGTTGAAATTCAAACAGAGAGAAATGACATGAGGAAAAAATAACGAGAGAGAAATGACATGAGGAAAACCCAAGAAGCTGGGCTTATTGGGCCTTTGAAGCCCAAATAAGCGTATTTGTGTGAAGATATTATTGGGGCAGAACGTGCGAAAAGTTAGCACGTGGGAGGCCATTGAGCTGGCCAGCTTAAACCCTAGTAATAAAGAAGGGCAGAAGCGAAAAACCCCGAGCAGCCAGCAAATCTCCGTCGCCGTCACGAACCCATTCTTCCGCAGTTCCATTTTCTTCCAAAGTAATGGGGAGCGACAGCGAGGCTGAGAAGCCACATCAGAAGGAGAAGAAGAAGATCGTTGCTCTTGCGCCGATTGCCAAACCGCTTGCCGGCAAGAAGCTCTGCAAACGTACCCTTAAGCTTGTCCGCAAAGGTATACGATCTCTTCTTTTTTGTCAACGCAGGCCTTATCCGTCTAATCGCAATATGAGTCTGAACTTCTTTTCTTAGCAAATCTTTGAGTTTTAGTTCAGCGATGATTCCCCAGATTAGTGAAGGCATTATTGATTGTGTGTACGTAGTTTGAGTTCGAATTAGTGTAATTGGATATGCTGGTTGAATCTGTAAGTTGCTAACGAACCACTAACCAGAGTGGTACCTCATTCAATCAGGCCTATGTTGATGCTGTTTCTGCAATTTGATGTTAGAGCATAAGTTGTTGAATTCAAGTGCCAGCCTACGGCGGTTGATTTACTTTGAATGGTCCTTGTTGATATTAATTGCGTCGTCGTTCTTTGCATTGCCCGTTTTTTATACTTTCATTTTCCTCGATTAAAGTGACATTCGTATCAAATGTAAAGCAAATTCCATCCTTGTTCTTCCAGCTGCTGAGTACAAGTGCTTGAAGCGGGGGGTAAAGGAAGTGGTCAAAAGCATAAGGCGTGGTCACAAAGGGTAATTTTACTATGATTTTTTTTTATCTTACTTTTAGTCTTTTAGGGGTCAAAGGGCAAGGAATGAGGAAATAACGAACCATAGGGTTATAGTTTTCTCATTTAGTGTTCATTATTAGAAGCCGTGCAATGGACTTGTTGGTTACATGGACAAGATAAATTGTAATAATTTTTTAGATAGACTAAAATTAAAAACCAAGTCTTTGGAACATTTATATTTCTAATATAATACCTGAAATTCTACTGAGTAGTATCTTTAATTGCTTTCCCACCTTCATCTTTTGTTGTATATAATGCAGATTGTGTGTAATAGCTGGAAACATATCCCCCATTGATGTGATCACCCATGTTCCGATCTTATGTGAAGAGTCAGACATTTGCTACATATATGTTCCTTCAAAAGAAGTAAGTTTTTTTTAGAATTCATTAGTAATTACGGCACTAAAATTGAGTAACGGAAGAAGAAATGACTTTATTTTTAACTTCTACTGTTTTACTGCTCTAACCAGGGGGAGTGGGGTTGGCTAGTGTATTGGGAATGTTCTTTGCTGTTTGTTTGTTGGCGTGTTATGCAAAGTAGTCGAGGAATGATGACTATTTTGATCATTGTTTGTGGATCAATTATCAATGAAATACATACTCTGATTGTTTTAGCTTGAGTTTCATTATTGATTAGAAGTGTAGGGCATTATTAAGTTGAAGATGTTGCAAGTTAGTTGCTCAAAGCTATTGATTTCTTTAAATAACATTAAGTTCCTTAGGACCCTTAAAATTTACCTCAATGATAATTTGCTATGATTCTTCATATTCGTTCTCATTATGGTGTGGTGAAATTTGTTCTCCAGGAACTTGCCAATGCAGGGTCGACCAAGAGGCCAACATGCTGTGTGCTGGTACAAACCAAGCCAAACAAAGGGGAGCTTGGATCAAACGAACAAGAGAAACTCAAGGCGGATTACGACCAAGTTGTAGCAGAAGTATCAGAACTTACAAGTAGTCTTATCTGAAGGGTAAAGCCATTGTTCTTTAACTTCCCTCTATGTACCTGTAGCTTTTTCCTGCGAACTGGTTAGTGCAGTACTGTGTTTTACCTGAAAATTTGTTTGGTCATATGCCATTTTTATTCCTACCATCCCTCTTAATATTAAGTAAGTAGAGAAACCTAGAGGTGTTGACGATGATATTTTCCATCTAGTCTGTCCAGTCAAATTTGAAAATGTTCTATGTTTCTCGGATTGCACAGGATTCAGTCAATGGGTCGATCTTTTTTAAAAGAATTCAGTGATTCGATAGAATTTGTCAAAATATAGCCTTGATTTTAGTAGCTGAACGATTCATTTTACCAAGTAAAGGAAGAAGTGCTTAAACCATTCATGTCCACAAAGGCTGCATCAGTTTCTTCAATCAAAGTCCATGAAGGGGACAGTGTCCGGAGTGTATGGATCATGCTGCTGTTCCATTAAATCTCTTCTTGAAGCTTTCGTGTAAAAAACTAAGTTCAATTTTATAGGGCTTTCTCGTTTCTGCAGTTCTACGACAGAGTAGGCAATATAAAAATTAGACTTCTATTCGGCCTTTCATCATAGGAACCATCAATTTTCTTTAAAATGAGAGCTCGTGATTTATTGAAGTCCAACATTTCAATTCTTAATATGAATTCATCTGAATTGAGAACTTGGGATTAAGTATAAGATTTCAACCTTAATTTCCTTTCGAATGGATGAATGAAGAAATGTGATTTGTATTGCTGTTTGGGCATGATATTTGGGGGACTGTATTGTGTAAATTTATGTTTAAATCAAGATTATACTTTAAACAATTCAATCAAAGAAAACTTTTAACTATAGTTAAGTTTTTTTTTTCCTCTGAGGACGCATAAAGCTTGTTCTTTCTCTCTTTTTTTCCCCTTTATTACTTTTAAAGATGCTTTATATAAAGAATTAAATAAACATGCAAATTTTTTCCAGTTATCTTTTCTAAAAATTATTTCCGTTCTTATTTTGTAAAGCTACTAATATTTTAAAAGGCTAAATATATGTTTTAGTATTAATGTTTAAGCGTTTTATAAGGTTTTAATTGAGTCTTTTGTATTTTAACATTTTTTAATTTATTTTTTTATTGTGGGTAAATATTAAAATAGTCTGATAACAAACTTATATGGCATAGTAATTAGTAATCGGTAGAAATTTATAAGAGAAAAGTTAGCTAAGAAATAAAAGTTTCAAATTTCTCCAAGATTCTAAGAAATTGGCATAAATATTAAATTTTTTTTAATGACAAATTTTTCTTAAATTTCAACCGAAGTATTATATCAAAGAAATTTATAACCAATCAATTTCAATTTTCAACATGTCACCAACGGTTGAGAGATTAAATTAAAAAAAATAAAATGTAAAAGATTAAGTTAAATTTTTTTTTCTACACCATAGAGATTAAATTGAAAAAATGTAACAATAGGGACTAAAATATATATTAAAAATATTTCTTAATTCCCCATGAACCTACTGTTATATTTTTAAATATATATTTTAACCCTATAAACTATCAAAATCGAAGGCTAAAAACATTTGTAAATGTTTAATGTTTTGTACTGAAAAGCTAAGAAGTGAATAATGGTGGCCGAATGCTTGCGTATGTCAAAAGCCGCAGTGTATCCATGTGCTGTAGACTAGAGCGACACACCAACAATTACCAAAGCCTGCTCCTCTCCTACAGGTCAAACACCAAGCAATCCTCCTGATTACTTCAAGGAAATGTATATATTTTAGTGTAACGTAATTCGCAATCTCAGTTCCGATCCCTTTTATGAAATCAGGTCTTCAAAGTGACTCACTTGGAGCCTGATTTCGTTACCCCTTCCATAGATTCAAAGAATTATATGCTTTACTCTCGCTGAAGGGGGAAATGGGCTGCTCCTTTTCTGGGTTGAATGCTCTGTACGACGCCGTTAATGGGGGCGGAGACATTTGGATCAACGAGAATCGCTTTAGGATCGTTAGGCAGCTCGGAGAAGGTGGGTTTGCCTATGTGTTTCTGGTCAAAGAGGTTGTTACCGACTCGTCTTCTGCCTCTGGCGGCGGTCTCGCCAAGAAATTGAAGGACCCATCTCGTCTCTCTGGTTTGCCCCTTTTCCTAAATCTCTGTATTCTGATCTAGTTCCTTTTTCAAATTAACCTAGAAATGTTTCTCAGTTTTATCTTGGTCTTGGGTATTTTAGAATTGACTAAAGATTTGAGTACTTCTGCTATCATGGATTCAATTGGTGCTTCTTGCTCTTGTTGTTGATTTTTAAATTTATGCTTTCTGTTTAATATATGCCTACGAATTATTCTTCCTTTTCCTCAATGAATTTGATTCTTTTGCAGATGATGGCTCTTATGCTTTGAAGAAAGTATTAATCCAGAGCAGCGAACAATTGGAGCTGGTGAGGGAGGAGATACGTGTTTCCTCGCTTTTTAGTCATCCCAATCTACTTCCCCTGCTTGACCATGCTATAATTGCAGTTAAGGTACTGGCTGGAGTTGTTTTTTCCATGTCTACTTTGAGTCGTTGTTTTATCTTTTTTTTTTTTTTTTGGTTGAATTATCGTTTCTGTATTGGTACACTCCTTTGGCTAGTAGTATTAGTGGAAAAAAGCAATAAGGAAACTCTGCCTTATTTTGACTCTCATCTGAACATGAACCTTTGATTGAATATTATGTGCCAATCTTGCACGGGGCATTTGGGCATCTATAGCACTTGAAACTTCTCATACCAATTGTAAAGAAATTTTATCGTTTTGATCTCTAGGTTCCTAACCATTTTGAGGGCAGTGTAGAAGTTCAAAGATTGCTTGTTGTGTCGAAATTTATGGAAATGAAAGCATAATCACCTTATGCATTTAGGAAGTGCAAATAACTCATATAAGGGAACGTCCTCCTAGTGGATGATAGTATCTCTATCTTGTTTTTGGTAACATAGCAAAAAGTTTGTCTTCTACACTTCTAGTCTGGACTATGGATGGATGGATGGATTAAATATTAATATATGGTTAGCTCATTTAATACCTTCTGTAAATGCAAAAATTTTCCCTTGAGATTTGCTGTCATTAGAATGTTCCATTGATTACTTAAACTTGAAACTTATTCTGCTGGTGAGAAGTCAACAACCTTTTCAGTGTAAAGTGTGTAATTTCTGATTTATAATTACAAGTTTGGGACTTAGTATTGACATTATCACATAGGCTTCAGGTTCAAGTAATAATTGCTATAAACTGTCCTTCACCTTTAATAGTATTTACCACTGACTGTGCATAATCTTTCTTCCCCTTTTTTCTTTTGTGGTGAGGTAGTCTACTACGGAAGGATCTTGGAAACATGAAGCATACTTGTTATTTCCAGTTCACTTGGATGGAACATTACTGGACAATACCCAGACCATGAAAGCTAAGAAGGAATTCTTTTCCACATTGGATGTTTTAGAGATATTTCGACAGGTAATGGCTATCCGTTCTTGCGTTATGTCATCGCCTTGAGTATAATTTATTGCTTATTGACCTTTCTTGACTTGTTTTTTTGATGAATATCTGTTGAAGATGTAAATAGTTTAGACTTTATTTGTATCCTTAACTTTAAATTGTTTTTGCTATCACATACCCCTAGCTGCAGACTTGTAGATAGTATAAGAAAACTATGGATAAATTCTAATTTTCATTGAAGTTTTACTTACTCCCTTCTTCTTCCCACCTTTTTCCTAAAGAGGTAAAATTTTGACTTCTGTAAATTACACATTTGCTCTAATGCTGTTGAAGTTAACCTGGAAGATTCCTACTTTTTCTCATGTTTTGATTTCAAATAATGCATATATAGATGCTGTAGTTTGCTAAATTTTCATGAATTTTCTTGAAACTAGTTCTTTTAAAAATATTTGGTGCTGCAGCTTTGTGCAGGACTGAAGCATATGCACAGTAACGAACCTCCTTACGCACACAATGATGTGAAACCTGGTAATGTTCTTTTGACTCATAGAAAAGGGAAGTCACCTCTTGCCATATTGATGGATTTTGGTAGTTCTCGACCTGCAAGAAAAGAAATCCGTTCTCGTTCGGAGGCACTCCAATTGCAGGTTATTGATTGTACTTCTTTCCTTCCCCATACTAGTAGAGCAAGATCTTCTCATATTCTGCAACAGATTACACAATTTTCAGCTGGATCATTAATCATGTTTGTAACATCTTCGTTTAACATTTTAAATAAAAGAATTATAATCTTAGAAGCGTAGGTCCTTTTATGTAAACGTAACACCGAAAGATCATTGCAAGGGAACTAAAATCTTCAGACATCATTACCATAAATTTCACTGAAAAGTTTCATAATAAATTTGATGAACCTAAGTACCTAACCTTATTTGTTTTGTAGGAATGGGCATCTGAGCATTGTTCAGCACCTTTCCGAGCACCGGAGCTATGGGATTGTCCAAGCCATGCAGACATTGACGAGAGAACTGACGTTTGGTCATTGGGATGTACTTTGTATGCAACAATGTGAGTAGTAATACCTTTCTTTGGACATTATTGAAATCATATCAATTTTTCTGGAACTATGAGAGTAGGGTATGCTTGCATGACAACGAGAAAACCAAGTCTGCCAGTGGCTATAATAGAAAGTCCTTATAACTTTTGGCATGCGTGGACGGAACTACCCTTACTGACCAAAAGCCTTTAGTTTGATGCATAATTTCTCTGCCAACTATGAAAAAGACCATTTAAATTTGGGTTAGCTTATTTAATAGTAATAATCTATGAAGAAAGGAAACAGAACCAAATGTTACACTGATCTTCAATTCAAGTTGGTGCAAAGAAAACATTTAATGAAACCATTCATCTATTTGCATGGTTTATTATTTGGCTGGAGTGCATCAAATTTTATCACATCATTTACATATAAACTAAAATTTACAGTTGATTGCTTTTAATTTTTCATGATTAGAATTGATACGATGATGGATATGGTGTAGGTATGGGATATCTCCATTTGAGTATGCACTTGGAGAATCTGGTGGAAGCCTTCAATTGGCAATTGTAAATGCACAAATTAAATGGCCAGCAGGACCTAATCCTCCATATCCTGATGCTCTTCACCAGTTTGTTAAATGGATGCTTCAGCCTCAGGCTACAGTTCGACCTCGTATCGATGATATCGTTCTTCACGTTGACAAGTTGATTGCGAAGTTCTCTAATTAGATAAACGAAACAGAAGTTGATCATTGTACACAGTTTCGACAACTTTTGTGCGTTGACGCTAGCATGCCAGTTTAAGCGGGTACAATTTGTCATCTCAGATTATTTTCTGTTGTCTAGCATAGCTGATAATTGGTTCAAATTTTTTTCTCTTCCTCTTAAAACCATAAATCCTCAAGTTTTCCTCTAGTTTGTAGAACTCCAGGGGATTCTTCTATACATCTGTTGCGTGTACTTTCTAGGATTGTTGATTGTTGCATAAAGTATAATTACATCAAAACTAACAACGCTAACAACAAAGTATGAATGAAAATTATATATAGGTCCATGTGATAGGACCTTTTCTTTTGATATTGTTAATATTTGAACTTATTTTGAAAATAATGCTAATTCAAAACTTATTAAAAAAGAATAATGCTTTAAAGATTTCGCCGCCACTAAATCATCTCTTGAAGTCCACTTCAGCTCAAAGAAACAGCTTGCAAATCACGTTGCTTAAAAAATAACATTTATTTAAATTTGTTTAAAAGGAAAAAAAAATTGCAATATAACATTTGATTGGAAAAAAAGGGAAAAAAATGACATTGTGGACCCCTAAATTAGAAGTTGGGAGTATAACCCCTCTACCAAAATGACAATATTATTTAAAATTTGGTATATGTAGTCTCTTAGTTTTTTTGTCATTTTTAAAAAAGAAAATTACTTGCAATGTCATGTAACTAATGAAGAAGGAATTTTCACAGCGTTATTTTTAGAATAAATTTTGAATTAGCATTATTTTCAAAATAACTTTAAATATCAGCAGTATTAGAAAACAAAGTCCTCCATTTGATACGGTTCTTTTCTTCAATTTTGTTATCTCAAATTCTAAATTTATAATATTAAGATTTACCATGAAGAATATTTTTACAAAAAGAAGATAAAATAATGCATCAGCTCGGAAAGATGTTTGTTTATCAAACGGAAAAAGAGATTAAATTTTAAAAAGATGGCGTCGCCCGGATTCGAACCGGAGACCTTCAGTGTGTTAGACTGACGTGATAACCAACTACACCACGACACCAGATGTAGCAGAATGTGTTTTTAAAGTTTAGAAAGTGTCAAAATAAATAACCTCAATGTAATTCTTTTCAAGAATATATATATCTATTAAAATCTGTAGAGTGACAAAGTATAAAAGTTAGTTTGAAACAATACTATATCCTCTCAAAAGTTTTAATACTGTTTTTATCTTTAGTTCAATAATTTTGAAACAATATTCATATCCTTCCAAAAGTTTTAATTCTATCTTTTACATTCCATAAATAAAAATACCTTTTAAGTAAATATTTGTTAGAATTTAAAATCACGCCACAATTAACTATAAATAATTTTGAAACTAAAGATATAACTATCAATTTTAAAAGCAATTATTATTATTATTTTATGATATAAGTACTATCATTATTTTTCCATGTCTTAGCTTCAAACGAATGTCTCTTTATTGGAACAGATTTTTATTTTATTTTTTTTCCGTTACGTTTATTTCTCTTTTCTTCTTTTTTTTTGTGTACGTAAATATATAAATTAAGAATGTGACGTTTATGAGTATCCGGAAGGAGGACGAAGTTTTCTCCATCTCCTTCTTCGTCTCCTTCTTCTTCCATCCCAAATTTTAGGGCTATTGTAACTAAATCACATTTTGCAGATTCTGAATTTTCCCCGTTTTGACATTTTTGTAAATAATAATGTGTCGATTAAGCAACATAGTGGTGAGTCTCCTGAATAGCTGCACCATGATCGTCGGCCTAATCCTGATTATTGCGGCCATGAACTTCCGCAGCCATGGCGGCACCGAATGCCAGAAGGTTCTGCAGGACCCGGCTCTCATCGTCGGAATCTTCTTCTTCATCGTCTCCATGCTCGGACTGATCGGATCCTGCTGCCGCCTCAATTCCATCCTCTATCTGTATCTCACCGTCATGTTCTTGCTCATTTTAGGGCTAATGGCGTTCACGATTTTCTCGTTGTTGGTGACGAACAAAGGAATTGGACAGGCGGTGTCTGGAAGAGGGTATAAGGAGTACCGGCTCGGGGATTACTCGCACTGGCTCCAGAATTACGTCGTTAACGACGAGAATTGGATTCACATTAGGAGCTGTTTGGCTGATTCCCCCATTTGCCGGAGCCTGGCTGCTGATTTCCATAAATCGCAGGCTGATTTCTATAAGGAGAATCTCTCCCCCATACAGGTACGACGTCCCTTTTATCTCTCTCTCTGTTTTTTTCCTGCTTGAGAACCTTTTTTTTTTATTATTATTATTTTAATAATTTTTGAATTATCTGCCCTATATGGTGAAAATTTTGTTATCTCATTTTTCTGCTGGTCATGGAGTTTGGGCAGCGGCAGAGCAAGAAATTTTAGGGAGGGATAAAGTTCTTTGTCGTATCTTTCTTATATATAATCTTTCCATTGTCAACATTTTACTTCTTCATATAATTCTTTTATTCTGCCTCCACAATGGGAGTTCGAGAATAGTTCATTGAAAAATAATTGCCTCGTCTCTCTTTCTTTTCAACGCTGAAACTTATTATTTTTCTTTTTGGTGAAGAAAAGTTCTAGAATCCTTTTGTTTTTGGTATGATACTTAAAAAATATTGAGCTGCTTTCATCATGTATTCCTTTGTTTTGCTATTACTTAGAAAATTAGTTTTAGAAATTTGTTCTTGTTTTCAAAAATTCAAATATGTCTCAAAAGAAATGATGGGTACCTAATTGTTCCATGATACAGCGAGTTTCCGTAACAAATTTTGTCTAAACCAACGTGAGCATTTTGTGTTGTGTGTCCCAGTCTGGTTGCTGCAAGCCACCATCCTACTGTGGGTTCGAGTTCAAGAACGCCACCTACTGGACAGGCCCGAAAACAGGCCCGGCAGTGCCCGACAGCGATTGCAAGACCTGGAGCAACAGCCAGAACACACTGTGCTACGACTGCAAGTCGTGTAAAGGCGGAATGCTAGCCAACATTCGCAAGGAGTGGAGGCATTTCGCCGTATTCAACTCATGCACTCTCGCGGTCATCACTCTCATCTATTGCATTGGCTGCTGCGCCACCAGAAGCAACCGCTCCAGCCATAGGTATAACAGATACAATGGCTATCCTTAAAAACGAATTCATGAACATTATTAGGTTGTCTGTAGATATATATATATATATATATATATATATATATATGATGACAACAACTGCCCAAACTATAGTTTCATAGATCTTTTTCTGAACTTGTTTGGGTTGTCATGGTGATGTGTGTTTTTGGTTCCTCCAATTTGCATCACGTAGACCTGTGTGGCCTGTTTTTCAGAAGTTTTTAATCTCTGCAATGAAAGGCTATAAACAAAAGTTGTGCAGCCACCTAAGTCTTTTTCTTTCTCTTTTTCTTTTGTTAAGAATTATTATCACTGAATTCTTGCCATATTCTCCTGTTTACAGACAACCCCTTGGCTCTAGTTGTTCCATAGACATACTTGTTCCCTATGTCTTGTACTATTAATCATTCTCGTTACCCTCAAGTTTTTTTCCTTTTTGACTTCGTAAGTAAAGACTTCGATTGATGCATGTATTCCGTTGGAAAGAGGATGAATGGATCCTAGTGTGATGCTATTTCTACCTTTTCACCATTATACAACCCGCGAAATACAGCAGCAAGCAGTAACTGAGGCTAGATACGAAGACAAAAATCAAATCAAGGATTACAGGGGATAATTTACAAATCCTATGGAGCGTGGGAAGGAAACCTGTTGAGTGCCAAGCATGAATAGCCAGAATTTTAATCAGCCCCAGGTAGCAATTTTTGACCAGATGTAGATGTCAATGAAGTCGTCCCGAAACGTTTGGTTGCTGCTGGGATAACTCGGGATGGCAAAAGGACCTCTGCGAAGGAGAACTTATACGAATCTGTTCCTAACCGACTCTGTAACCAACCTTTGCTACCTGAAAACCCATCAGTTACAATCCAAGAGTTCTTGAAGCCAAGGCTTGTCAGTGCTTTTGCAACTGCTTTTTCCGAGTCTGCATACCTGAATTTCCAAGAAATTTGATGTGAAAATGATAAGTGAAGATATGGGCGAGTGATATAAAGTAATGATGCACAAATCAAGTAGACCGGAAAGATTACTCACGAGCCTAAGATCACTATATTGGAGCCTCTGTTAAGTTTCTTGAGATATGAAATCTTGATCGCCGTCAGTTCAGATTCTAGTTTCTTTACATTTCGGACAATGCCCCGCAACTTGCTCGGTAATTCTTCCAAACTGAAACAGTTTTGATGCAAATACTCACAAGGTGATCCCATATTTGGTGTTTCTGAAGAGAGGGGGGAGATGTAATTCATTATGAAATCTGTGTGGTACAGATATGAAAGCTTGTTTAACTTACGGAATGGGAATCATCTTGTTTTTCGCGGTGGAAGGAAGGCGAGGAATGCCAGCCTTATCCTTGTCCTTCTCTGATCGTATATCAATTAGAAAATAATCTCTCGACGATATTAGATCAAGAGTTTGAGCAGGAGAGATTTCACCTAGTTAAAACATGTCATAACACTAATCAGATTAAATTGCTCAGAACACAGAAATATCAAATGTGGACTGCAAATGTAAGTTTCATGGGTAGAGAGAGTAGAGGCAAAACTCTGTTTGTAAGACCTCAAAATTAAAGGCCAACGGCATTTTCTTGTAATGCATTCCATAAAAGAATGTAAAATGAACCTTTGTAACCACGAAAGCCGAAGGAGATGGCAGACCAAATGGGAGGAAATAGCAGGTATGCCAGTCCTAAGACTCCAGCAATTTCCACGATTACAAGAGGATCCGCTGCGGAGATCGTCTCGACAGTTGATGAAGCTATAGGCTTGGCACCTTCAATGACCTTACCAGTTTGTTGTGCTGCACCTACTACAGTCTGCAACCAAGGAAAAAATGCTTGATGAGTGAATCTGAGTTTGATGAAAACAGTCATGCCAGAAAGACTCTCCAATTGGCACCAATGGCAGAAAAAGCAAAAATACTAAAATCATCGTGAGAGTAGTCCAAGATGAGTCCATAAAAAACATTATTCCAAACTTCACCATTAGAAAAGCCTACTGAGATTTCAGGCACTACGAAATATAGCATGATTCGAAGGGGATTAGAATAATTTCTCAACCTTGAATCTCAGCCAAATATGAAGTATCAGTAAACCATAGGAAATCTTGAAACGACTAAATATTTGCCAATGGTGATTGGTGAGCATGTTACTTCCTAATTAATCATATATTCATATGGAAACTCAGCCAGAAGAACTCCATCAGAAAAGGAAAAAAAAAATGTTAGTTCAATTAATAAGTACAAACCTTAGCAGCACTTAGAACGGGCTCGGTGTCAATGCCAGAGCCCTGGAGTGCTTGGATGGCTTTCTTGGAAGCCTCAGAAATTGTCGGAGAAGCAACCTTCAGCGCCTCTTCTCCAGCCTGCTTCACAATCGGCAGCGCAGCATCAACGCCCGGCTTCAAAACATTTGCGGCAGAGTCAATGACCTTCTGTGTAATATCCAAGAAACTGGAGCCCGCTTCTTGAACCTGACTCATCGTCTTCTCCACCTACCATTCCACAAAACAACAACACCGATTCCGAGAAATGTCTCATCACTCAATGAACTAATCCACTGATTTGAAATCGATGCTTCACATTGGACAAAAGAAGCTTACAGCTTACTTACTTCAGTGAGAGATGAGACGATTTGGTCTTTGTTGAGAGCCCTAGCCTCGTAGGGAGGAGAGAACAGGGCTAAGAGAGAGAGGGTAGTGGACGCCGGTAGGGCAACGGAGATGGGTCTGAATTGCGATTTGGAAGCGGATCTGTCTCTGTGTGAGGAAGGAGGTGAGTGATTTGTGGGAGTGGTGGAAGCAGTGATGGCCATCTTCATCGCCATCTTCGCCGCCTCTGGAAAACAGAAACGGAACCACCAAACAGCAAATGAAGAAGAAGAAGAAGAAGAAGAAGAAGAGAGGATAATATTAAAAGTGAATTGGTTTCTTTTCTTTGGCCATTGTTAAATGTTAGCATCCATTTCCATTTTGGCACAACTCTGGATTTCATTTCGTGGCTCTAAATTTCCCGATTGAGTAAATCCCTAATTTTTTCCATTTCTAGAGCTATTATTCAATCTCTCTAAAATTTCTTTCCTTTCCTTTTTATTTGTTTTGTGTATTTTTTTTAAATTTTAAACAGGTTCTTCAACCTTGTGTTTGAGGTTGAAATTTCAAAGCGGAATTTTATTTTTTTAAAATTTTAAAAACAATAATACGTATCACGGAATTTTATTGCTTCAATCGTTGGGCTTGAGGCCCATAATGCCAGCCCAACTCTAACTCTGTGTTGCCTTTTGTACTTTCTAAAACATCAAAAAATGAAAAGATGGAGATGCGGGGTATCGATCCCCGTACCTCTCGCATGCAAAGCGAGCGCTCTACCGTTTGAGCTACATCCCCGATGACGTTAGTTAAATTCAGTTATAATTAATATTAATTACTTAAAATATTACAACATTTGATTTTTTCCAGTTCTGCCCGGGTGAGGATTTCAACATCTTTTGATCGATGATGTATATAAAATAGTTTAAGCTAGATTAGCAATTAGCTGTGTGACCTCTTGATCTTGTGGTAGATTTTTGTCAAATACTCTTTGAAAGCTACCCATGTTATGCCATATATAAGCCGGTTAATTAATTGCTTATCACCCCCAATGTTAATCTACTATATAATCTAATGTTATCATATTAAATGCAAAATTAAAATATAGAAGACATAATAGCAAAAAGTTCAAAAAATTGTTACAAACCTTCTAAAGTAATAGATATGATCTTCAACTTATTATATAGTTTATAAACCAAACTTATAATTTTAACTAGAAAATGAAATTTCATAAAAATGGTTATAGTAAATAATTTGTTTATATTCTATATTTTTTGGAACGTAAATATTTTTAATTATAATATCTTTTATTCATGTATTTTAAAACATAATTTAATAACGAACATAGTTTTTTTTTTTATTATTTATGTTTGCAAATAAAATAAATAGTAATTGACGACATCTTCAATATGTTATTTATTTTGAAAAGGCAGTTTTCCATTTTCTTTCCTCTCTCTCTCTTGCAAATTGAGCAAAATCTGGTGATAGAAACAACATTTTGAAACCCACTTTTTTTAATTATTGAAATTTGAAAGTTCGATGTAGATTAGAAAAATACTTGTAAAATACGGATTATGCACTAAACAAGCATATTGTTCCTTGTACTAAAATATATATATTGTTCAAAAACAAAAAAAAATTATCTTTGTTTGATAATCTTTCCACATTATTTATAAAAACATATCAATCAAACATTGACAAAGTTTAAACTAAGTTATCACTTAGATACCACCTAAAAAGTAAAAACACCATAAGATTTTCAATAATCTCAATTCAAAAGAGTCAAGGGAGCCATCCCAAGGCACAGAGTGGTTTGTTGAACCTTCCCTTTATACTGTAAAATTATTTTCAATAACCAAATGCTACATCACCTGCTTGAGAAAAAAGGAGGATGGTTGGTTGGCATTTGTTTTACAGTATATGGAACCTATGATTCAAAATCCAAACCATGTCAAGGCTTCAATCAGCTCGAAAAGATATCCATGGAATTGAAAAATACTCAGCACAACCATGTAAATACAGAGTTATTATCAGAAACAATAATTTAACTAGAAAGCCTGAAAAACACTGGTCAAAGTTGGTAAATTTCTTCCCGAGAATGATTATACGCCTTTGCCCAGATCATGGACTAACTCCAAAGCGCTCCTGTTTACGACTTGTGCCATCATATACTTAAGAGGGCCGTAACAAGGGACAACAGCATCAAGAACATAACAACCAGAACTGGTGATAATGATATAAATTACAATAAGACAGGAAGAAATTGCTTCTCCAACCAGATTCTGTTGAACTTGCCTGATAAAAACAAACATCTGCCCATTAGCAAATCTTAAAGAAATTTTGAAAAGTTAACAAGAAACTCTTGAGAAAATCAATATTTCAAACCAGAAACCATCTGTTTTTTCCTCCAGGGGGAATAAAACTTACTTTATCTTCCAAATAAATAACAATATGCAACAAAAAGACAAGAAACTAGACAAGGAAGCACCAAATACTACTTGGAAGAGATCTGGGATTCGTAATCTTGCATCCACCGCCAAGAAGATGAATAGATCTGGATAAGAAAATGAAAATATCACATTCGCATTCGCATTCGTGTTTTCAGACTGAAGAAAACATAACTTTGCTTCTACACTGTGATTGCCTGTCTATTTGGTATATATTTACTACCCAGAAGAGGTATGGAAAAGAATCAAGAATAATACCGAATTTAATCAATGCATTGAAATAACCCATTTCCCATCAACCAAACAGAAAGAGAGAAAGCGCTGGATGCAGAGGTTTATCGATCAATTCGTGTATTGTGGTTTGTTTTGAACAAAAATCTCAGGAAAGGATCGATGAACCGCTGCCTCCAGTGACTTCACCTCCAAAATCAATCAATCAATCAATCAAATCCAAAACAAGTAAAAAAGCAATCCAAAATTAAACCCTAACTCCTTATTGGACTAAAAATCGAAGGAGAAAATGACAAAGAATTAAAGACGATACCGACCAAATCGGATCCCAAACGACAAATTAAAGGATCATCAAAAAGAACTACCCTAATGTTCATCCTCTGCAGCAAAATTAGGGCATGATGGGTGTGGGTTCCATATCGTCGACAAGATCAACAATATTGTCTGTTCAAAGTCTATCTCTTTCTCTTCTTCTCTCATCACACATTATCAATCATTTTTTAGGGCCACCCCTGAGTCATGTACCCAACACCAACACATCATTCCTATCATTTTAAACACCCAAACAATTTTTTTATTCTATTTCTTTTTTTTTAAGGCTAAAACTCTGTATTTTTTTATTATTTATTTTAGTTCAGGTAGTTTCCATCAATTCGTTTGAATTATTATAGTCTTAAAAGAGTGATCATTCTAGTCTTATCGTTATACTTTTTATCTCATTTTTTCCATCACAATTTTATCACGATATTACATTCAATATATTTTTTGAAATATAATCGTAACTTTATATATATTAGAGATTTTTTTTATTTGTGTCTAGAATTTGTGTTAAAATTTTGCAAACAAATACTAAAAGTGTTACTTTTTAAAAGTACATGGACTTAAATTAATATTTTGGAACTAAAATGACTAAAATAAATCAGAGCTAAAAGTAAAAAACAAAATTAACATTTTTAAAAGTAGAGTGATCCCAAAATGAATAAAAATTGAAAAATATAATGACCAAAATAGTATTTCTAACTTATTTTTATCATCATTTCAAAATATCACAGTGTGAGGTTGTGAGCCACTCTTAGTCTAGTCGTTAATTCGAGTATAACTTTTTGACAAGATAGTATTACCATTTTAAAAGATCAATGATTCGATCTCTTATTATTTAATTGTTGAATTAAAAATCTCTTAATCTATTAATTAAAATATTCGTAGGTGAGTTTGAGTTTTCATATTTATACTTAGTAATTTCATATTCTTCAAAAAAAAAAAGTAAGTAATATTAATATTGTTATTAGACATCAATTAATTTTTATAGTCATAATTCTTTTAAGCCTCTATTTTTCTTCTACCGTGGTTTAACCTTTTATTTTCAAGAAGGTGAGTTTAAACACCCACGAGTTAAACTTTTATAACATTTGTCTAATTCAACAAATTGGGAATTGCACATAGATTTCTTACATTTTACAGTTTTGCCTCTCGGTGGATTTGATTGATTGTCGCCATCCTTGAAAACAGTTACTTTGTTTCTATAATTGGTTCACTTTGAAGATTCTTCAGCTTCTTTCTTGATGCAGAAGTACTGACAAATGTAATACTGAAACTGTTTGCTTTTGCCCATTCTTTTCTATCAGAAAATGACCAGAGAGACTTACTCATTTCAAGGTGATTCATATTCTTTCTCCCCCATTCACATTCCAAACCAACACAATATTTTAGTTGTCAAACCGAACATAGTTCAACGATAATTGATATATGTCTCCAATCAATAGGTTGTAAATTCGATTCTTCAGTCCCACACGTTGTTGTTAAGAAACCCTTGAGAGTTGGATCTAAGAACCTTGCTAACGAACAAGACCCATAGAACTCAATCCCAAAAACCTCGAAAACAAGTATGGAATCAACCCAAGGAAAAGTTTTAGAACAGATTACCTTGATGATCAATATCAAGAGTAGAGAAAACTTGTTTCTAAACTCGTGATTCGAATCACTCCACAAGAGGTATGATCAACACCGCTTGAATGATCCTAACATGCAAATTCTAAAGACACAAGAAATTGCACAAGAAATGGGAGATAAATCTCTCAACCAAGCTAATGAGAAAACTCACTTTTCATTCAACTTCAAAAATTGTGTTTACAACAAGACATCTCAAGGCTATATATAGCCATCCTAGCAAGCCATATGAAAAGTCTTAAGCAAATGAAAAGACTTGTAACTTACAAGAAATGAAAATACTTGTAAATGAAAAGACATAACTTACAAGAAATGAAAAGGTCAAGAACATGGAAAGCCAACCAAAATAAGTGCAATCTCGTCCATAATGATGGATGTGAGTGTTTGACTTGGTTTTTGAATTGAATGAGTTGACTTTGACTTGTCTTGATGGAGTTGACTTTGACCTTGACCAAGTGGACTTTGACTTGCCTTAAAAATACTTAAAAATGCATAACTTGCACCAAATTGAAGTGCATAGTTCCAACTTCTTGCACATCTTCCTTTTTTTCTCTTGTCGAGTTCAAGAACGCTTGGACACGAAGTAGCAAAGCTTGTTGAAGTTTCCTAGCTCTCGATCTTGTAATCGGTCCATGAGGCATAACAAAGGTAGCTTCTTGGTTCATATCAGTTGTACTCAAACAAAAAAAAACACAATATTTTGGTTTAATCACTCCAAACACCTAATCGATTAAATGATCTACTTCATGTTATATGCTAAATCACACAAAACTTCAAAAATCTAAAAAACGGATTTTTTCACATTGGATAAGGAGAATACCTATTTTCGAATTAGCTGTATTTTTTCTCCTATTTATTATTTATTTTTTTTGCTTTCAAGCCGTAGAAATGGGAGGTTTTTCCGAACACGTATCATATCACTGGCCTCATTCTATGGTATCTCTAAACATCTATTAGGGAACATCAAATTGCTAGTTTATTTCAATGGGAAGGAATCTAAAGTCTTTCTGATTAATTACTTGAGCGAGAAGGAACCCTAATTATTGATTAAACAACACCAACTTTAAATTGGGAATCTCAGTCTTTTGAAAAAGAAGATTAGAAAAAAGCCAACTTTTCTGCAAAACGCCATTCAATAATTCTACCCATCTCCCCAAATTCCATATCTATAAATGAAGCAGCTGATTCCACGTGCCTCGGACTCTCAGCCATGGCCACCGCATCATCGTCACCACTGTTACCGGACCAGCAGCAGACGCCGGCGGGCGGCGGCGGGCAGTCCTCGGGTTCGATCGGACCGTTCTTCGCAGTGATCTCTGTTCTAACTCTGCTGTCGATTCTATCTTGCTTTCTGGGTAGAATTTGTAGCCGCGGATCTGAAGAAACGCCATTACAGAGTAGAAATTGTTTGAGATCTTTGAAGGGGCAGTTGCAGAGGCGCTGCGTTAAAGATGTTGAGGTGGGGGTAAAAGGAATTGATTTGGGTGATGGAGCTGCTGCAACTTCAATGGATCGAAAGTTTTACAAAGATTGCCATCTTCAAAATCCTTCTTCTTCTTAATTAGTCTCTAGCTCACTCTTCTGATTAAGGAAAAACCAGATAGTTTCGTCGTGCTCTGATTTTGATTTTTGTATCAATCTCTTGCTTGTAAATTCAAAATCCCAATTGCACATTGTTCATCATTTTACAGAAAGTGAAGTGGGGAACTTAATAATTATTTGAAATGAATACAACAATTTATGTATTTCCTATGAATTCATGAGAGGAAGAAAATTTTTGACCATATGAGTTGATATGGTCATTTCAGCTGCCAGAGCATCAAACTGGTGCTTTCTCCTTGTTTGACTTTTGACATTTTTGACAAGCAGCAGCAAAACTGAAGAATCTTATATACATTTGTGGTACAAATATATATATTTATATACACACAGAGAAGAAACCTCCTATTGAAACAAATTTCAAATCTTCCTATGGAAAAAGAATTTCATCAGCAAAAACTAATGGATGCTGCTTTCTAGGATTTCTTCAAAATGCTTCGATGCTTCAAACCGAGCTGTGTAACCGACGGTCGTGTGTCGTAGCGATCTCTGTCTCACTACTTGACAGTATTCTGGATCGTTCGACTGGCCATCAGATTTTATCCACTGAATCATTTGATGATACATTGGAAAGAACCGCATTTGGATCGAAGCATAGATGAAGTACGGGAGCAGGGACGCTACTAGAGCTAACAGTGTGAGGATCCAAAATGATGGGGCCGGGGCGCAGGCCTCGATGAAGACCTGATATGCAGTGGTTGATATGGTTGGGTCTATAGCTCCATATGCCATGAGGAATAAGTACCAGATAATGATGCTGCCCCAGATGAAGAGATGCTGAATATATGTGAAGTAACTGATGGATAACGCCATTTGACAGTTTACAACCCAAACAACACATGTGTACATGGTGGCACCAAGAATTTCCAGCCCGACGACCTCTCCACTGTTACGGAACGCTTGATGCTCCATCGCCACAACACAAAAGAAGAAGATGATGACAGCACTTAGTAGCCCGTTGAACACCCAGCCGATAACTCGAAACCAGCTAAACAAGACATTTTGTACACCTTCTTGGTATAAAAGTGGGAACTGAAATGTCAAAACACAGGACCATGAGCCATTTGCATTGTAATAAAGGATCCCAGAAGGCAAAATATTGCATCAATTCAAAATGGCGACATCGGACTTACCTTGAGACAGAACCGGGATGAAACGTCCTGATCGAATACTCCCAATGCGATCACCGGGAGAGAAGTAAAGAAGACATTATACAGCGAAAGGAACCAGTCATTGTACACAGATTGTCCGGAGAATGATGCGTACATCCCAAAGAAGAATAGAGTGAACCCGAAAACAATGTTCTTGTAGAAGAAATAGCATATCTGCCACAAAGAAAAGGAGTCAGTTGGACATATTTCAACTATTTTGCTCTGTTTCTTCAAGCTCTAAATAAGTTTGAGATTCCCATTAAGAGCCATATCTCACCATGGAAGAGATTCTCCTGTAACACCAATGCCCATGGACAAGAAGCAGCCGCTCCAAATATCGAAACTGCGCTATAGCAATGTCACTTGACATTACTGCCTGATATTCAGAAAGATAAAAAAGTATGAAACAAAATCAATATCAATGAAAACTTGTTTTGATCACTTGGAATATACAGTGGGGATCTGTTTCATATTTACCTGCATCCCTTCAACGCCGCTAATACCAATCCCGATATCTGCTTCTTGGAGCATTCCGACATCATTTGCACCATCACCAACTGCTAGAGTGGTGCTGCCTGTTTTAACCTTAACCAGTTGGGTAACCTGCGTTTATAAAAAGGACATCATATTAAACTTCTGCTTCTTATTTCTCAATTTCGGCTAAACTTGAATCAGGTTTAGATAAGAAGGAAGGTCTACTTACCAATGCTTTCTGTTTGGGAGATGATCTGCAGCATATAACTGAAGCACAACCAATGGCAAGCTCCAGAAATAGGTCCTTCACATCATCCTCTAGAGCATAGGCGAGGGACTTTCCATCAATTATCAAAGCCAATGCTTCCCGGGTTTCGCTCGAAGGCGTAAGTAATGCTTTTGCATCGGTTACTTGCTGAGTCACACTTGTCTTAAATGCCTAAAAATCAGTAAGAGATCCCTTCAGTACCACAACTCATACAGCTTTTGAACAAGATAGTGAATTAAATCGACACAATAAGGTCTCCATTATAAAAACTGAAGCCGTAAGTTCAATTAATGGGATGACTATAAAAGGAAGTAGATGCTACATTCTGATACTAATAACTGCAGCTTTGTTGTCCACTTTTTGAATTTGATTTATTTACCTTGATAGCTGCAGATTTGTTGATATCGTCGACTTTGTCTAAAGCTTTTCCTTCTGGAGTCTCTGAGCTGATGATTATTTGCTTCATTCCTTGTCTAAGTAAACTGCAAGCAAAGCTGAAGAGAGGACGTTCGGGTTCAGGAACGAGAAATTGTTAGCATACTGAACATCTTCATGAACTGGTGCTCAAAAATTTGTATGGCTTATGCTTACCCAATGTTGATGGCTGTTTCCATTTTATCTCCAGTCAGAACCCATATTTTAATTCCAGCCTGAGCAAGTTTGTCAATGCATTCAGGGACCTACCAAAACAAAATAATCAATAACTTGTCAGTTTTTGTTCTTGATATGAGTTTATTAATTTCCATTGTACATTTTGCTAAGACAATAAAACCACCTCCAAATGGCTTAAAACATACCCCATTTTGAAGTTTATCTTCAACTGCTGTAGCACCAAGAAGAATCAAATCCTTCTCTATGCTTTCTGTCAACCGATCAATTATGTCATCACGATCTGTGCTCACTGTGTTTTTGGCTTTGATGAATTCCTGATGAAATTTATTAAATTCTTCCTCCTCGAGATCTCGATATGCTAGCACCAAAGTTCTCAAACCAGCATCGGCGTACTCATTAACATGCACCTTTGTCTTTTCTTCAAACTCACTTCCATTCTTTGCAAGTCTTTCAAACATAACACTGCACTCCAAGGTAAAAATAAAAATGTCTTTAACTACAAAGAAAACAGAACACTATCATATGCTTAGGCAAACAAAATGTTTCTAGTTTACCAACCTGTCAGCACCCTTACAAAGTAGTTGTAGCTGTCCCTCCATATTTCTTATGATCACGGACATCCGCTTTCTTGTGCTATTAAATTCCAAAATATCCAGTAGTTGATATGATCTGCAAAACCATAGGCACAAGACTCAGTGTTGATTATATGATTGAGAGAAAGATTCATAAGATGAGCATCTAAAATATGGATCCTTTAGAGGAGATAATTCTATAAATTCAGGAGGCTTAAGACCAGTGATCTGACCTTTCAACTTGTTTGGCAGAGATCGGGTCGAACTCCCGCAATGAAATGCTTGTCTGAGTCCTTTCGTAGAATTCAAAACCAAATTCTCTGGCTGCAATCACAAAAGCTGCTTCATCTGGTGATTCAGCTTCATATGAAATTCTTCCAGTGTCCTCATCAACTTCTGGCAATGCAGTATGGCAGATGGCCAGTAGCTGCAAGAACTTCTGGATTACACTGGCGTGAGGCTCCTTCACCCAATTACCATCCATTATTCTTTCATCCTTAAAATTGAACCCCTTAACGGCTGGTTTTCCGTTGCTAAGACGCGCATCGTTGGCCTCTAAATTTTCAGGTAAAGTTGACTGCTTTCTCCTTGCAAGAGCTCTCTCTACTTCCGTAATTCCTCGCCCATAAGCAGTCCCGGCCACTGAACACTTGATAAACTCCATCGAATTGCAGGTCAATGTTCCTGTTTTATCTGAAAGTATGGTGTCAACTTGGCCAAGCTCTTCATTCAAATTCGAGGTACGGGCATGAGCTGGCTTATCAGTTTCCTCGTGGTACATATGTAGATCTTGGTTGATAAAAGCACTCTGCAGAACTTTGACAATTTCTATGGACACATACAATGATATGGGAATCAAGTAGCTAAAAAGCATAAGAGCAGTCAAAAATTGCAAAACCGCTGCAGCTGGAGCTTTTCTGGGGTTGTAATAGATTGTAGTATTGTCTGGCCTAAGGTACCATCTCTTAATTCTTCCATTCTCTATATCGTCGCTAGTCATAACTCCAAAGAAAATCGACCCAGCAATTGATATCAAAACCAAGAGAGCAAACAGGAAGAACACAATCTTATCCATCCTCTTCTCAATTTTGCTTCTCTTGGAAGGCGGATCTGTTGAGTTCTGAATGACCTTTGTATCATGGCCTGTGAAGATCACCACCCCGTATATAAAATCTGTGTTTCGCAGCTTCGAGTCCCGAAGTAGAAGCTGTTGAGGGCTGAGGGGGTGTTGCTGCTCTTCAAGCTCCATACTGCCAACAAAGGAATACAAATTTGCATTGGGGTCTTCACATTTTATTATGGCCTTGAAATTACTGAAGCTCGAATCTTCATGGAAGTTTGAGCTTGCTTCTAACGCGTTTTTCAGTTTCAAATTCGTTTCCCCATCGAGATTCATCGTCTCAACATAGCAAATTGCTTCCTCATAACTTGATGAAAGTAAAATGAGATCAGCAGGGAAGAATTCATCCTTCTCCACTTTAACTACGTCCCCAACCTTCAAATCCATCCATTTACTCTCAACAAATTCACCATCTCGAAGATGTACTTTCACCTTCCTGTTATTCATCTCCATATCCTGAAAACAATTCCCACAGTCACATTCTGAACATAAACACAATAATAGTCATGTCACTGCAAATTTCAGAAAAGAAAAAAGGATATGCTTTCAGATTTGAGCAATAGTTGTAAGCTGAAATTAGAGGGTATTCCATATTTACCTGTTTGGTTCTCCGCCAATCTTCAAGAGCCTCTTTGGCCATGGTGACTCCAATAACCACAACAAGAGGAAGAACATTACTGACGGGCGAGTACGGCGACAGAGGGCTGAAGGAAAGCAAAGCACAAAGGAGGAAGTACAAATTGGCAACTCTTCTGAATTGCTCAAACAATGATTTGGGGAAGAATGAAGCAATGGTATATTTTGAAGTTTTGACATAATTGCCTCCATAATTGAGAAGGTTGGCCTCAAAGCTATCTGGATCATTACAGTAAACTACCCTTGAGAAGCCTGGGCCTCCAATTAAAGAGTGCTCATCTTTGAATGAAGCTCTACCACAAGGAAAGGCATGGATTCTTTTGAACTGCTGCCTCCTCCTTCTTCTACCGCCAGCCATTTCAATCCAACTACAACTTCTGATTCAGAGCCTTCTGTTGCATAAATACCAAGACGACAATAGAGCGGAAAATGGAAGAAAGAGAAGGAGGGTAATAATCTTGTCAGAGTTAGCTGAAAAACTGTAGAGGTCTGAAATTGAATGAGAAATGAGAAATGAGAAATGGGGTTGGTTTTTTAAGACAATCTACCTGGGAATAAGGAAACCTTAAATCTGAAACCCTCAAATGATGATGTAAGAACAGACGGCGAGGCCACCACTAAGGACATAAAGGGCAGATTCTAGGAAACAAAGAAGTTTAACACTGTTCACAACTTCCCCCCTTCATTTGGGGAAGAGAGAAATTCGAAGCCCTCAGATTTGACCAACAACTTCAAGACGGCAAATTGGAGATGGGTTTTTACCAACTCAACTACTTCAATAAAACTACAGCAAAGTAGATTTTTAAAAGGCTAAAGAAATCTTAACCCCGAACCCACAATGGGCATATCGGAAACTCCACCAGATTTGCGTCGGCTTCTGCTAAGCTGGAATCTGATGTCAACGGCAAAACCAAAGTCAACAACTCAAGAGGAAGGCTTTCTGAAAAACGTTGACCAAGCCCTTTCTTCCTCTCCAAGTCAATAAGTTTTGATCGCAGCTCAAAAAGGTAAGTCGGTAATCTGGGTTGTTCTTCTCTGCTCTGCTCTGTTCTGTTCTGTTCTGTCAAGCTTTTTCCCACAGACAACAAGAATTCAGAATGGACTAAACAAGCATCTTCAAGATAATTAATAAACTTCCCATAAACGAGAAAAGAAAAGGAAAAAAAGGGTTCTCAGAGGGTATGAACTATGAGGCAGTAAATAAATGCGTAACCAGTTGGAAATTTCCTGGCAGAAGCATAACACAAAAGAAAAGTTTTTTCATTTTTCATTTTTTTTTTAAGAAAACAAGCGAATTGCGAGGTGAATCGTGTCAGAGATGGAGGCTGAAAGAAACAGTTTTAAATGACAGTTAAAGAGTTATGGAAGGCGAGAGAGAAGGAAGAGAGGGAGAGAGGATCTAGCGAGCGAGGGAGCGAATAAATTTACTAGGAAGTAGAAGAAGATTGATGACGATGAAAATGGCGGATGAGGCTGCGTTGGGTTAGGGTCAAACCGGACCATTCACATGACTCCAAATAATTATAATTATATATTCTCTCTCTCCACATTAATTATCCATTAATTATAACACAAAACATACACATAATCCTTCCTCCCCAGTTTTAAAATTACCCTTCCCTTTTTCTCTCTTTCTCTGTTCTCGAAACTACGTGCTCGTTCTCTATTAATTAAAATATAATTCAACATGTCAAGACATATATATTTAATTATAAAATTTTGTTATGAAAAATTGACATAACATAATTTGGAAAGACTTTAACAACCAAACCAAATTTTTAGAGAGAGAATCAGGATAAAATTTGATCAGACTTTCTTAATAATGGATGAGTGAAGACTTAAAATTTAGATTTAGTCGTCACCATTTCTTGGTTTAAAATATTAAAATCGAATTTTTATTCTAGAATATTTTTGAAATATTTAGAAAAGATTAATAATAGTAACAGGGATAATTTTTAAAATAAATAGCAAAGTTTTAGGCGTTTTTTTGTTTTTTGGTCAAGTCGCGAGCCAATTATCTTCTCCCTTACGGATGAGAGAGCACCCAACGACGACTTTTTCCACGTCTACGGTTAGGAAAATCATTACCAGAAATAATAATAATAATAATAATAATAATAATTTTTTTTTAATCAAGGCTGCAGATTGGCTTGGCCCAATTAAAATGTAAAAAAGTCTAATTTTTATTTTTTGTTGAATTAATTTTTCTTTTTTCGACGATATTTCCTGCGGGTGACGGTGGTGATGACGATGACTTGTCTAAAAAAGCGCCAAATTCTTTTGATTCACGTCACTCCAGTATCTCACTTCATCCTTCCCACTTTCTTTTTTGGAAATTACCATAATATCTTCTTACGTTTCTCGCCTTACTTTCGGATCTCGTTTCTAAATTGTAATTCCACTTGATGCCCAATTGGTGTTTTTTATGGTTTAAATTATTCATTTTGGTTTATTCCTATACCTTTGAAAACTCGTATATTTGTAAAATTTTATACACAATAAAATTCTCTAATACAAATTTATGACTACTTTTGTTGGAAGATGAAGAACGGCATGCCACGTGTCCGTAAGAGATTGTATGCGGTTCGAAGTATTTCACCTTCGAATATAAAGTCTGATAAATGATTTACTCCTAAGGATCGTTTGAATTAAGGTTTAATTTAAGATGTCTCTCAATGAGTTACCTGAAAATAAGATAAATATGAGAATGAAAAATAAATGTGTTTAATTGTGTACGAGACTATTATAAGATTTATTGATTGATGTTTTAAGTTTTGAACTTGTAATATTGCTTATTTTGCATTTTTATTTTTATCCCGATTCTCAAGGTGTGATTGATGAATTGATTAAGGGCATAAAAAAGAAAGGAAAAAACGAAGATGTGGGGCAACTGAAACATAGAAAGCCTGAAAAAAAAGAAAAAGGAAAAGGAAATTCAGAAGCGAGAATTCGAACTTAGGCGATGGGACAGCTAAAACGCAAGAACATGAAAATGAAAATGGGCATAAAAAAAGATAGACGTATAAGAATAGAAATGTAAAATAGCAAAAAAAAAAAAAAAAAAAAACTTAAGAAGAAGAACATACATGAGATGGAAATGGAAAGAAAAATATAAGAAAGGGAGGAAGAGTTGGAAAAAAGAAATAGAAGAAAAAGAAATGGAAGAAGAGTTGAGAAAAATAAAGAAAAATGTGGAGGAAATGAAAAATAGCATAATAAAAATGAGGAACAAAAGAAAAAGAGAATAGCTGGACGTACCTGATTGAGGGCTTCAGCAAACCCGTCTTTTGAGACAGGTTAAGAGAATCCTGACAATACCCTAATTAATGATGTCTGGGAAAAAATATTTTTCCCAGACAAATATTTCAAACTCTTTTATTAAACATGGGTTTCACATGTCTAAGCTCGTTCCCTCTTTTAAACTTTTCCAACCAAATAGTCCCTTAAAATTCGGTCTAAAAGTCCAAACAAAGTAACTCTCCTACGCCGGACATTAAAACTGTCTTGCAATGGTCTAAACCCTCCACCCAAAGTGGCTAAATAACAATTTTCATCTTTTTAAGAGTCTATAAATATCATAGATGAGCCTCGAGTCAATATTGTTAGGATTGAGATTGACTAGATGTTCCCAATACTCAATTTTTTTTCAAATAGTTATCATAACTATGGAAAAACACGTTTTAAAAAATCTAGTGAGTGAATGCTAAAATTAAGATTAAAAAAATTATATAAAATATAAATTAAGAGACTAAAATAGTCACTTCTTACATATTAAAATGAACCTTTCGAAATTACATATACTAAAACAAACAAAAGTTAAATATTGAGGATGAAAATAGTATTTACTTTTTTCTCCTATATTTCCTGTTGAATTTATGTTTATATTAATGGAATGTAAATGAATTTTCTTTTATACCTTGTACGCATTATTAAGGAATATGAATATGACTGTTGATGCAAGTCAAGAAAAGCGTATCCTTGCTGGATCAAAGCTGAAATTTCTCTCTTTATTTTTGCCCTCTTGTTGGTCTATTTTGAGATTCTAATTAGAATCAAACATTTGAGTGTTTATTTTTTTAAATGTAAATTGCTATCATTATACTAAAATTTCATAAAACATATATATATATATACATGCATACATTATCAATAATATGTCAATCTCGTTGATTGAAGAAACAAATTACAATAAATACTTATATAGAACATGTGTATTTTGAATCAGTCTTTTCTAAAGAGGTGTGAGAATTCGATTTAATGTGATTTTTTCTTCCTCGATGTAAACACAAGATTTGTCAATTATTCAAGACGTTAAATAATATATTTTCTTTCCTTTTAAGCCATCTTCAACTTGGAAGATTTAGAAGATTCTAAAATTTAAAGATGTAAAAGAAAAAGGGGAATGAAATATTCCAACCATTTAAAAATAGTGTAAACATATTAATTAGCATGTGCAGATTTTCTTGTTTCTTTTGCTTTATAATATTTTGATGTCAGCTTGAATTAATACTTTGAATCTTTGAATTATTCTTTAATTACTTAAAAGTCATATTTCCTTATCAATATACTAAAGTGTCAATTTAGAATACTTAATTGTCCAATTATCCCTTTAATTAGATTTACTCATCAACATAAAAAAGTACATAATTTATTGTATCGAGCATTAGAAAGAAAAAAGATGGTGAAAATAATTTATAAAAAAGAAAAAAGAACTCAAAATAAATTTAAAAAAAAAACAATTTATTAATACTTTCATAAAGTTGGAGAGAGAGATTTGATGGTCAGATCGTGCATGTGCATTTAGGATTTCATCTGGGTAGCATATGTGCCTTGCCCATTTCGCTCTCTCAAAAAAAGAATTATTTCTTTTGCAACCAAAGAAAGAAAGGAAAAAAAAAAAGCCTCAAAAGTTCGAAAACCTAATAATTCGTACGGATCTTAGTCAAACTTTTGATATTGACCCCATTTTTGCAGTTGTCCACGTGGCGCCCTTACATTGCACGAAGGGCTTTTACCCATCTTCTCGTGCCTCCATGCCGTTCACGTTTAAACAACAAATGGAAACCTCCAATTTGCACCTCCGTTTTGACCGTTACATTCTCGATATACGGCGTCGTTTCCTTTTTCATTTTACGGTAAATTACAAATTTCATCCTATATAACTTATACATAATCTTAATTTTATCCATGTGACTTTTAAAAGATTAAATTAAGTCTTTAGGATTTAAATTTAATTTAAAATTAGTATACAAATTTAGTTAAACCTCACAAATCGTTATGAAATAGTAGATCCTAATCTCATATATTTCATTTTTTTTACTCAGTCATAAACTTTGATATAGTCAACTTAGCACAATTTCAAACGTGAGGCATGGAAATAGGTGTGGTTATTTCATATCGATGTCAACCAACATATTTAGGGTGTGTTTGGGAGTGATTTGACATGATGGAAACCTACTAAGTGATAACTTTCAAATTCAGAGAAACCCTGGAATTAAAAATGGGCAATCCTGAGCCAAATCCTTTTTCCGAAAACAAAAGGGGGTAGGTGCAGAGACTCAATGGAAGCTGTTCTAACAAATGGAGTTGACTACGTTGCGTTAGTAAAGGAATGAATGAATCCTTCCATCGAAACTCCAGAAAAGATGAAAGATAAACGTATTACGTACTGAAATACTATTTGATTAATGACGACCCGAATCTATATTTTTTATATTTATATTTTTATATATTTTATATAAAAATATAAAAATGAACGAATTGTTATGAATCGATTCCAATATCTCCAAGTTGAAAAAAGAATCGAATATTCATTGATCAAATCATTTACTCCATCATACATAGTCTGATAGATCTTTTGAAGAACTGATTAATCAGATGCGAATAGAATAAAGATAGAGTCCCATTCTCAAAATCATTTTTACATTACAAAAATCACTTTCCTTTCCATTAATCATGTTTAACAAATTAAAAAATTGATTTTAAGAAAGTTTAAAATCACTTTAGATTAATTTTTAAGATATCACTTGTATGATTTTGAGAAATCAATTATTGTTAAATTTTAAAATTTTTTTTTTCAAAATTACTCATTCTACGATCATTACTCTCAAACAGTCAAATAGAAAATATCAGGTCATTATCACATAATTAAAAGATAATGTATCAATATGGTAATAACGGGTAAAGTTTAGCTATACTCGTGTGAATCAAATTGAAAATTTCAAAATTGTACCTATTAAATTGGAAACTAGGGCCAAATTATTGGGGGATGACTTTCTATCTTAACATTTATTTATTTTATTTTTATTATTATTTATTTATTTATTTTGGAATTCTCAATGTGTTCTCCGTGTGTTGGGGATTTGAAATATCAGACGGATTTAATAGATATAAAAAATTATGTTATTTTCCAACTAATAAAAAATCTAAAAAAGGCTCCACATCGGACGGTCACGCCGGCCCAGATTT